GAGTAGAAAAGGTATCAATATCTCCTAATCTGGAGGACCTTATCATGTCCACAGGACCTTATCATGTTTCAAAGGTAGGAAAGGGAATAGATAGAGCAGTGGGAAACAAATTTGAAAAATCACTTTTTGTTCTCTACTTGATTAACTCTGATTCAAGCACTGTGACAACTTTGTTTCCACTAGCTTTTGCTTCAGAATATTATTTTGAATATTTGTTTACCTGACAACATGCATAGAGGATGCTCCAGATTTGAAGAAGTCTGTAGAATCCTCAATTACAGGAACATTGCTCAAAATTCCCTTCCAAATAGCCTAATAGGATATAAAAATATTTGGGCAGTTATGTTAGCTGCAGGAATTATTTACTGGAAAATTATTTTCTAACATACTTATGCCTTCAAAGTGTACTGTTTCAACAGATATAATAGAAAGTCATTTTAAGTAGGTCTGAAACTTGATGATAACCAATAAAATCTACAGATTACTTTTTTGTCCATGATAGTATCACCTAATCATGCAAGCAAACTTAATGTTACAAGGCTAATAATTTTTTATGCCCATTTTTATTAAAATCTTCACCTTCCAAATAATAGTGTTACATTGCACTATGGAACATGCTTTCAACAGAGCTTTGGCAAACTTTGTGAATGGACTGATGGAATTTTTGGCACTTGGACAGAGTGGAGAGGTAGCTTAAGCTGCATGAGTTAGATGGATATTTCTGCTAACACGAATAACTGGTCACATGTAAAATAACTGGTAAAATAAAAATAACTGGTAGCATTTAAATCAACACATGTATATTTCTGCTAACATGAATGCTAAAATAACTGGTAGCATTTAAATCAACAATAGATCAGTCTCAAGAGTTAGCCGATAGTGTCATGAAGAGAAGAGTTAATATTTCTTTTTGCTATTTTATTGGTCAGCCAATTGCTCCAGGAAGCACTAAAGTTGCCAGCAGGCAGGTTCATGGGAAGCTTTAAACAGTATTTTAAAGCACTAGTGCCTAGAGCTGTGTGTCCTGTGTTAAAACTTACTGATGTGCAGCAGAGCTGGCAGAAGATGTGTTTTAGCATGAATTCCCAAATCCATTTGAATGAAATTCAGTAACTAAAGATTCAGCCCTATGCTTTCTGAGTACATCTCACGAAACAACAACAAAAACAACAAACTTTACAGTTAATGAAAAGATACGCTTTGCCTATATTGAGAGGTATGTAGTGCTTTTCTCTGAAGTAATATTCAACAAAAGCAGATTATAGAATTACCCTAATATCTTCTGCCATCTTTTTCTCCTCTTCTGTAAGTTCCAGGGCAGCTGTTTCATCAGCAGAGAAGTATTTAGATGCAGGGATCATTTTTCCATCCTCAAACTGTAGATTTCTCACTAGTACCTAAAAAATGAGGGGATATGATTTTTAAACTCTTTGAGAAGCCATACACCCTTGCGTGTTTGTATCCTTCTGTGGTGAATTTTTCAATATTAACATAATCATTGGAATAGTAAAATAAACAGCTTGCAGGAATAGTAGTATGATGCAGGTAATTAAAAACAGATTACTTTTGTCTTTCAGATTCTCTTCTCTTAGTACATTTTAATACATAAGCAAAATTGGTAAGATATGAGTGAGGAGCAAGACACGAATGCCTTTTTTATAGAATGGCAGAAGATTAATAAATTTCAAGCTCTTTAGCAGATGGATTTATCTAGCCTGACAATTCCAACTCCTGGCACTTTTTGCTGAGGTTATTCCATCTGTACTTATGTTCGCCAGAATGAGCACTTACCATCTTCCCGTCATTACCAAAAATGACCAAGCCATTCTTCGTTACAAGTCCAGGTCTTGAAGCACCTTTTATTGCCAGTTCTTGTCCAGCTGGAACTGAAGCATCGACTAATGATGATCCATAGAAAGTAACCACCTAAAAGTAAACAGAGTGGTAGGTGCACATAAATATGCTCTAAAATTCTAAGAATGAAGTGATACCATTTTGAAGACTTCATATGCTAGAAAGTAATAATATATAAGTACCAACCCATGGAAAATGCATTACAACATTACCTCTGTATTTTTACAACCTAGGACCTGTAAAACTGCAAACTTCCTAAAAGCCGCTTAGCTTTAACATTGAGCATGACTAAACCAATGCAGATAGGGAGACGGCTTT